TGTTGTTCGTCCGCCAGTTCCTGCCTCAAAATGAGCGAGTTTGAGCCACTTGTACATCCAGGAAGTGTTCAGGAAAAGCAAAACAGCAGCGAAAAAACTCAACACAGAGGAACATTTACACCTCACTGCCAACTCGCGTTTCAGAAGTGTTAATGGAGACCAACAGAGACAGCGCGCAGAAGTATAAATGCACAGCTGCGCGCGTTGCCTGCGCCGTGAGTTACGCCGGTCACTTGACGCAGAAGTATAAACCAGGCTTAAGGCCTCATTTACAGTAATGCATTTTAGTTTTAAAATGGCATTTTAGAACGAAAACGATCCACGTCCACACTGGCGTTTCACCTAGCATTTCTGAAAAACTCTCCTTCATCACTGAACCGATGAAAACACGCATCACATGACCATACACACACATACACGGTCATGCGCTGCAGCGTATGCGCACGTCTGAGCTCCAGCTCAGTAGGTGCTTTGAGCACAAAACCTCCGAGAGCAGCGCACGTCGGACAGTTTATCAAGGATTTACCGATGGATCGCGTCTCATTATAGTTGTTAAACGTGATATTTAATTAATCTTGTCACTATCTAACGATTCTTCTGTTTTTTTAATCTATCAGGTAACGTGCCACAGTGTCAGTACACTGCTTCAATCTTTCACTTTCAAGCTTGTACTTAGCATTTTAGTCAAAACCTCAGATACACTGTAAAAACATCCTTAAAAAATTTGATGTTTTATTTACCCAGCGGGGATGCCGAAAAAAAGGTTAAATAATGCCCGGTAAATTACAGAAATTTACAGTAAAATAACAGACATTAATGCTTTTTCTCAATTCCAAGAACGCAGAGAACGGACTTGCGTTTATGTGGAGACCGGTCTTACCAGGTGTCCTTTGAGAAATGAGATGCTGCGTTCTTCCTGATGGTCACACGTCCTTCACGTGTTTCCAATGGTAAGGTATTTAAACAGTGCAGCATTCATACAACAATTTCCCCTTTTCAAAATATATACTTTGCATAAAAACCATTATAAATATACTCTGCACAATATAAATAAAACTAATTTTAATATGAATTTCAGCAAACAAACACCCTTAATTTGTTTTTTCCTTTATTACAATGTCCATGGTGATGTTTATATTCACCGTTTCATTTAGGGAAACTCCTGAAGTAAATAAGTGATATCTCTGAACTTTAATAATACATCTAAATAAACTGCTGCGCTTCCCACCTCCAGTCGCAATGACTTCTGGGACTTCCAGAGCGAGTTCGGTGCTCAAGTCTGCATTGGTGCGTCCTCGATATCAAGATCACATTTAGGAAGTTTCATGCGTCCTCCATACTTGCGGTTGTACGTATTGGAACTGAACTTAGGCAGCTGATGATGACGTTGCACCAGAACACGAGGATGCAAGACCGCTGAAGAACACATATTGAGAAACAGCATAAGTTACAGAAATTTCCTTAAATTTTAATTTCTGTAAATCAACCTCTGTTATTTTACCATAAATTTTTGTAATTTAATGGTCGTTATTTTACTTTTAAGCACCCCAGCTGCAGGAAATAAACCTTAAAATTACTGATTTTTGTTTTGCAGTGTACTGTTGATTGATTCCTGTTGGTTGTGCACCTTTTTTACCAACCAAGTTTGTTGATGCCATTATGACGACACAGATCACTCCGCCTATTCATGCTAGAATCCCATGGAAATGTGATTGACAGGTGGTAATTTGTGTATAACCTATATTTATTTATTTATGATTTGGTTATGGGTAAAGCAAAGACCATGAGGGTCAGGCAGTTGAAACGGTAAGCTACAAATAACTAATTAATTATTTATGAATAATTATTTCACCACCGCCTACGAAGACGATGCCATCGTCCATCGTGATGTTTCACATTACACATCGTTCAATGCCAAATTGGTCGACATCACCCAACCATTTTGCCTAGTTGCCTAATAAACCTAGTTAAGCCTTTAAATGTCACTTTAAAATGAATACTAGTATCTTGAAAAATACATCAATTATTAGAAATTGGTTATTAAAACTATTATGTTTAAAAATGTGTTGAAAAAAATCTTATTTTCGTTAAATAGAAATTGGAGGAAAATATAAAGGGAAATATAATTCAGGAGGACTACAAATTCAGACTTCATCTGTAGATAAAACTGTGACCTGAGGTTTATTTAAAGTACTCATAAGTCAATACAAGTATCTGACCAGAACGATATTGATTATACAAGTACAGCTGTAAAATTGCACTTAAAGATCTTGTAGTTAGTTTTGATTTCATGTGTACTTTAACTGTAAGTGAATGAGGAAATTGTCACTTTTTGGTGAAATATCCCTCAGTAGTGTAGTAATGAAGTAAAATGACCCGAGTATTTGACACCCCTGAGAGTGACACGGTTTTTCCAGCACCTCCGCCAAGCATTCGGATCCCACCATGTGTGACAAGCATACAGCGGTCTTCAGTCTCCAGGTATAATCTAGTTTTCATTAAGAGCCGCTCTGGCCTGCTGATAGAGCAGGTGTATGTGTGGCTTTATCTGGACATGCAGGAGCGTAAATCATACGTGACGGTTTCAGACCGATGGCCCGTAAAGGTGGGGTTGCCTTACCTGGAGCACAATCTGGGCTCACGGCTTTACCTGCTGTTAGGAGCAATTTGCGCTCCCTGAAACCAAGCGTCGAAGTACGTTGGCTAATATGATTTTAATCCTCCTTGACCTTAAAAACGCAGCGGGGCCTCGGGTTTGATGAAGTAATACCTGAGACCCCATTGTTTCTGAGTCAGATGAGACGCAGATGATCCTCCATATGTAGGAGTCAGGTAGCCAAGGAACCATTAGATGTTGGACACCTATGCACTGTAAAAGATTTTCCATCTTTATTGATGCTTTGAATTGTGCTATGGGATCTTAATCTTTGTTCCAACAACTTTTAACCTTGAGAAGTTTAAAAAAAAGTTACTTTTATCAACATTTTAATAGTTTAAAGTGGCATATTGGCTGTTTCTCAATTCCAAGAACGCAGAGAACGGACTTGCGTTCTTGTGGAGACCAGTCTTGCTAAGTCACCTCGGAAGAACGAACTCGGGAGACCACGAGGACAGAGAGCGTGTTCGACAGGCTTATTTCTACATATATTATTTCTTATACCTTATATTGTTTTAACTACTAACATGTCAATAAAAGTCACTTTGTTTTTAACAAGTCTCTTTGTTTCTAATCAGCCAATCACGCAGCAGCAACTCAATGCATTTAGGCATGTAGACAAGGTCAAGTAAATCTTTTTTTCATCACCAATTATCATAGTAGAACAGTTCCTCAAGCAGTTTGTGATGCATTTTGGAAACAGGAGATGAGCCCCTGGTCTAATGCGCCACCTGGCTTGAAAAACCCGTTTTCAAAAGACTTATTATTTGGGCAGCACACGTATTCTGAATGCCTACGGCAGAATTCCAATGAGCCATTTTAATCTAGATTAATTCCGAGATTAATCTACATTAAAATATATATATAAATATATATATATATATATATATATATATATATATATATATATATATATATATATATATACAACAGTTGTCTGGTTCTCAAATCTGATTGGCTGATAGACGTGCGATATTCTGCAATATCAGAACTCCTACAGCCTCTTTACCCTTTGTGAATTACTCCGCGCACATACAGCCAGCAAAAAGCAGACACTACAGATCTAAAATTTAAAAGATGCTTGCTCAACTGTTTAACTGTCAGCTTATGATTTGAATCCAATGTGGAAGAAAGTAGTTCCTCATACAAAAGGGTTTTTGAAACTCTCCATGTTTGATTTTGTTTTTATATACACAATTATGCCGTCAAACTGTTTTATAAACGCAATATTACACTCATAGCAGTGCCTGCGGCCACGTGCCATCGCACGCCTCCCACCAATGCTGATATACAGCCATATCGCACTGCTACTCGTGTGATATTGCTCATATATATGTCAGCGCTTCCCACAGGTTTGAAATATACTTGTGGTGCCCTACTGAAAAAAAACTGCTTAAACCAGCCTAGGCTGGTTGTCTGGGTTAAGCTGGTTGACCAGGGTGGTTTTAGAGGGGTTTTGGCCATTTCCAGCCTGGTCTTAGCTGGTCAGGATGGGAGCCCAGCCAAAACCAGCTATGTCCAGCCTAAACCAGGATGGTCAAGCTGTTTTTAGCTGGATTTAGCTGGTCATTTAGCCTGGAAATGGTCAAAACCTCTCTAAAACCAGGCTGGTCAACCAGCTAAAACCAGCCAATCAGCCTAGGCTGGTTTAAGCTGGATTTTTCAGCAGGGGTAGCCGGATTGAAACATACCTTTTACCCACAGCACACGAATGCTGGAAACTACAACAAAATAATTATGTGCTATATATTTTATTTATTATGACATTATTATACACCTTTTCTTTTCAATGGGTTAAAGTTATTTTAAAAAGGCTGTTGAGATTAAAGAAATCTACTATATGTCTTTGCATGTCTTTTGGAAACCGGAGCACCCTGAGGAAGCCCAGTATATATATTCAACGATTCAATATAAAATTCAATGATTCAGTATGTTGGTGCTGTGATATAATATGCCAACACACAATTCCTACTCTAAATATGCCTGGCATATTTTTTGCCACATAAAACTGTTACATTGAATGCCATTTTAGTGGGTGTCAAAATAAAAATGTATGATAGTCATTATTATTTTTTTTGCTCAGGAAGAAAAAAACCTGCAATAACTATTATAGTCTTGCATTATTGCTGCAGCAGCCTAACTATGATTTATTGGGGCAAACTGTGGTTACCATGGTGATTTGAAGTACGAATGATCTCTGGCGCCCCTCAGTGCCTCTAAAAAGTCATTGCAGTATTTGAGCCTCGCGACTCGCCGTAGTTTAAACATTAATCACATGTCCGATTTGTCAGGAAGAAGAAACAATAGAGGTGTTTTTAGGCCGGAGCTGAGAATGCGACTGTCGGGCGATGAGTGCAGTGTCCGCAGGTGATTTACCTGCGCGAACCGGCGGCGTGCCCGCGCTCATGCAGTCATGCAACGTGCGGTAAAATCCTCGTGCCCGGTGATTAAAGTGCCTGAAGAAGCCGGAGACCAGCAATGGAGGAGTAGCTGAAACAAACACCTGATCCGTGTGTGCCATGGGGAACTGCTGGGCTCACTGTTTCGGGCTCTTTAGGAGAGAAGCCAACAGGATACAGAGAGGAGGAGGGTGAGCCATTCATGGGACTTGTGATGTGATTTTATTGAAAGGTTATCTGTGACGAAAACATCATTCGCCGGTTGGAGTAAAACTGGTTTTATATTAGGGCATGTGGACTCTCTCCTTAATAATATGATATCAGAAAAGTGCTCTTTGCAAACTCTAAATTGGTAAATCACATTAGCAGCTAATGACTATCAAAATACAGAGTTCTCACAGTTAACTTGAACGTACGTCCCCTCAATGATTCGCCGGCTGTCAGGTGGATTTCATCAGTTGGACAATCTGTGGATATTATCTACACTGAAATTTACTTAAAATGTAAGTTAATGTAACACTAAAGTTACATTAACCAGTTTAGGTGGCTGATAAATGTTCCAGTAGCTAAGGTTTTGCGAATGAATCGTTCTTTTTTATAAATGATTCAAATGAATCGATTCGCAACACGTTCGTTATTAGAGATAACTTTTTTTTTTTTTTTTAATGTGACTCGTGTTTTGCGGTAAAATGTGCTGTTAAATATTTATGTATGATTATGTATACAACATAATATAAACACTGCAATTTTATTTCGCACTTTGGAGCAATCATTCGAAAGAATTGTTCGAATAAGCCGATTCGCTTGAACGATTCATGCTTACTCTTGTTTCCGCATTAGTTGATGTGTAATCTCAGGACCCCGCCCAGAGTCATTATGTGAATCCGCCCTGGGACATCATCCTTGGGCAATCATGTTTTGTTTATCTATCTTTGCTAAATTCATATATAATACACAATCATTAATAAAATAATATCCACTAGTATCTGTGCTCTCTGTGAAAAGATGACTATTTTTAAAAAAGAAAAGTCCATATTTGGTGCTTATCAGAATAGAAGCTCAGATTTTTTTTTTTTTTTTGAGATGGTGATATTACATTTTGCTGTTGCTTAAATCATGTTTTATTCGTAACAATGCATCTCTCATGGTATCAGTCAGACTTGATGATTCATTTATATATGTTTCTGTCAATAGGTCAAAGTACTTCAGAAGTAACACAGCTGGGGAACACTTTACTATTGAGGTACAACCATCATAGTTTATTTGCAAAGATATAACAGGGTTCAACGCTAAGGATTTTTAACTGGCCCGATCAGGCCAGTGGTTCAGATTTTTACTTGCCCTGCTAAATTTTTCAATGGCCTCACCAAAAAAAGGAAATTAATATCTATTTTTTTAGACAAATATTTTAAATAATGTGTCAAAAGACAAACATAATTGTGTACATAAACATTTAATTCAGCATAACTTTTCTTTAGATACAACTGATAATTTAAAAAAAATATATAATTGTGATAAAACTAACTTTGAAAACATAAATAAATAGATACATCACTTTAATTTTGACACCCACTGACATTGTGACCAAATATAAATTAGAGAGGTCAGACTTTCTCATACATAGCCTCATTTCAGTTGTCAGGTTTTATAAAAGTCTATCTATTGAATCAATCAATTTATTAAAAAAATGTTGGCCAGAATTCTGCATTATAAGCTTAAATTGTAGAGAAATAACAGATGAAGCCAGACTGCAGTCAGATCATGAAGCAGATCAATGTTGATCTTTCTTTTAAGATATCAGTGCAGAGATGAACAAAACAATAGGCCTAATACAAAATATTATAAGTTAAAATATGGAAAAAATTATCAGATGGTAATTTCTGTTAGTTTTCCTAACGGATAAACAGCATTCGGTAATATTTTAGCATGCTTTCACTTTCGTATTCAACATGAAATGCACATTTACTGGTAGGAATGACATCCTGCCCTACTCATATTTCTCTCTTCATATAGCCGGATATATGGCTATTACACAACCATAATACACTGTGATGTAGCCTAGTTCACTACAATCGATCCTCTCCAGAGTTCATTTCAATCGAGACGAGACCACTTCATTCAGGTGTTCTTGGACTGATTGGTTTGGTGTGGATCCGAGCGCGATTGCGGGATACACGCATGCGCTAGGCAAACGAGACCGTTCTGAAACAAATGTCTTGGTGTGAAAGCAACCCATGACTGTATTAGCACGCAATTGACAAACAGTCCCAGCTGAATAAACTTGATCGGGCCAGTAATGATGCTGTCTACTGTCCCGAGCGCTCCGGCCCATCAGGCAGTCCTTATTGTCGAGCCCTGTATAATGAAATAAAGTTTATATATAAGAATTTAAATGTATATGAATATAGTTTTATTGGTGTATGAGTGATTATTCGTTCTGTTTCAGTTTGAGAACCTTGTGGAGAGTGATGAGGTGAGGACGCACTTACGAAATCACATTTAAGCTCTTACGATATTCCTCTTTTGCTTTGATGTCAACTTTTGTCTTGTTTTCCAGGGTGAGAGCTCACAAAGCTGCCCGAGGTATGATTGTATGAATGTGATTGTTTATTTGCATAGATACTGTATGGCTCACTTAAAACTGAAAATTCTATCCATTTAAACGTCCCGGGAAACTAAAATTAAGTTTTTTTTTGTTTTGTTTTTTAAATGTTAGTATCATTATGTTAATTTTAAGGATATCTGTAAGCTAGCATACACCAAAAATTCACGCTTGAACCTGGGGTCCGTTCTTCGTACGTGGATTACTCAGTTAGCTGGATTTGGATATTGACGATTTGACACGATCCAGGATCGTTTCGTTCTTCAAAGCTGATCCGAGAGTTGCTGTCATAGCAACAGTTCTGCTAGGTCAAACCTGATCGGGAGCAGGCTCAATTCATATAAACAGGATTATATCGGCTCAGTTCAAGCAAAGATAATACAGAAAGTATGTTACGAATTCTGATATTTTCTTACAGTAGTAGTTATATACACTTGGGAAAATGGTACATATTTTTTAACTATATATATAAAGTTATAGTCATTAATAAAATAAATAAAGTTATACATATTAATAAAACTTATGCAATCTGCACCCTCGAAATGAAAGTACAAAGACTGCCACATGGTGGTGCGAAGAGAAAACTTATTGATTTGAACTTTTTAGATCGCTTTAATACAAATTGTGTATAATAGAAATGCACAATATGTGACTTTTTTTAAAAGCAATAATACATTTCAGCAGTCATAAACGTTAAATATTATATAATAAATGTTTTGATAGTTAATATGCCGGTGATTTGATGCTTCACAAAAGTTGCAGACGCCTTTACCAATATGAAAATGCTTTTGTAAACAACCAGTTATTCTTTACACCGATTAAAAAATGGCTACTATAATAAAGAAAATATTTTCTATATGTAGAACTAAATACATTGATTTGCATTGAAATACATGATGAATACTCTTGACACATGAAAGTGTAAAGCCTGCAGCTCACAACAAATGTGGAAGGTTATTGCGTGTCATATTTAACAAACCGCAATACTGCTAATTTGACGTAATTTTGCTCACATGAATAATTGAATATTAATCAGATGATGTCATTACGCTGCTGTGCCATCAGCCAATCGTTGCATTGCTGATCATGATTTCGAGGATCGATAGATCTGTCCTTCACAACACACGCAGCGATCTCAGATCAGTTTATCCAGACATTCTAATCTGATTCGCGAACTGGTTTGAAGAACCAAATTAGCGAGAGATCAGTTATCAAGATTAACAGATCCAGGATTTGCCAAATAATCTTAGATCATTTAAGCGAGGTACGAAGAACGGACCCCTGATATGAACATACAAAGCTTGCAGTTTGTTATTTCCGTCTAAAAGGATCAACAATTTCTTCTATTTTTCGATTACTTCAGTTTCTCAACAAATCTTCTGACCAATCAAATGCTCTCTAGTGTCATGTCCCACCACTCTTATTGGCAGAGCTGTGGTGAAAACATAATGCTATTGGCTGTTTGTAAAGGGGAGGGGCTACACTATGCCCCGCCCCGGTCATGATTCAGTTGAGGTTATGTCAAACCGAATAATAAATGCACATTTCAAAGCACTTCACCAGACATTTAAGGCAGTAAATCTCAGCTGCGTGAATGAATGACATTGTTGCATATTGAATAACTGTCATAATATTATTGTTTTTTTTTATATTATTGTTATTATGGAAGATACTATTGTACATAGGCATATACTTTATCTTAATAGCTTAGTATGGTTAATAGTATTCACAAGCACTAGTCCAGCCCTTCGTTTTATTTATAGATAAATTGTTAAATTCTGTAATTTTTTTTTAATTTATGTAGTTATTTCAGCTTTAATGCCATTTATTTGCAGGTTTTTAAGCCAATTGTGTTGTTTCTGTTTGGTAAACCAGCTATGGTGACTAATATTCTAGTCTTTTCCTATTGGTGGTCGACTCTTGGCCTGGATGAGCTCTAAAATGGACCTGATAGTCAACATTATCAATGTTATAATCAATTTAAGACTAACTATTCACATTAGATCAGTGCATCACATGATATAAAGTACCACAGATTTTAGTTCGCTGATGGCAACTTTGAACTCAGCGCTCTCTCCTGTGATTGGTCCAGACCCATCAGTGAGGAGGAGATCAGCCACTTAAAGGAGCACCGCTATGCTGCGCTCTCAGACAAACAGGTGCAGATCGATGAAACGCTGAAAGCACAGGTATAGCGGGTTTCATTCAAAATCCTTAAGTTTATGTTTTCATTTGTTGTTTTCCATTGCTTTGTTTCTTTTTTTTCGCCCCTGCTATTATTTTGTTTAGTTAACCTTCCCTTTCTGTTGTGATTTCTGCCCAGTTAGTGGCAGAAGAGGAGAAGTTAAGGCTAGAAGAGGAGGCTGTTTTTGCAGCCCAGCGCGAGGCAGCGCGGCTCGCTAAGGAACGAAAGCTAAAGGAGGTGAGGCGTTCGCACTGAGCACGCCCAGCCCTTCTCAAAAACCCTGCCCACTTGCCTTCAGCCACACCCCTTTCCTATTTGACACCCCTTTAGTTCTGTAAAATTTGTAACTCTGATTTTAACAGGAATAGTTGCTTGGGTTTTTTAAAGTGATGTATTGTATGTTGGTCAGAGCTAGATTAAAACAATTATGTCATGCATCTTTTTGTACCATGAATTACAGACATCTACTGACTTGTTATTCAGTGTAACAATAGTTTATAGACAGATATCAATTTTATATATATATATATATATATATATATATATATATATATATATATCACACATATATTATATATGTGTGCGTGCGTATATATTTTATTTATTTATATACACAGCCACACACACACTCATCTATCCATACAATTGAAGTCAAAGATATTCGCCCTCCTGTGGATTTTTTTTATTTAAAAAAAATTTATTTAATATTTTTTTCAGAGCAAGTAATTGCAGTATTTCTTATATAAATATAAAACAAAAAAAATAACACTTTTTTTTATTTATAATAAATATAAATTTAAATAAATATTTAAATTAAATGTTACACTAGCAGTTTGAAAAGTACGTTCTATTTAGTATGAATGTGAAAATTATTAATGGAATTTGGACGTACTGCATCCGCTATTTTGTCATGGTCATGTGACCTACCTGCATCAGTTGCGTTGCTTTACTTCCATTCATGAATTCTCTTGCGGGGCTTCATAGGATAGCACAGCATGCATGGGATGCGCACTAGAGAATCTCGCCGGAAGTAGTTATCCGGGTACTTCTTGCATACTGATTTTCGAATTTTCAATGAATTCTGACATACTACTTGCCTTGCATACTGATTTTAGCGAACTATATAGTATATAATTATGTGGTTTTGGACGCAGTCCTAGTCTTTCAATTGTACTTCAAACGGAATGCTAGTATCTTGCAAAATAAATAGTAAAATATTTCCCACTGTCATCATGGCAAAGAAAAAATATTAAACTATTATATTTAATAATGTGTTGAGGAAAATATTTTCTTCATTAAACAGGAGAATTAAAGAATTTAAAAATCACAGGAGAAAGACTAAGAATAATGCTAAAAAAAATTCTTGCCACTTTCAAAACAAGGATCATTTGACATATTTAACAATACTATTTGTGGATCGAAAATGCAGCTGCTACATCAAATGAACATTTAGTATTTAACATTATATTTTGATTTTGGTCAGAATAATTATGATGTTTTGTTTATGCATAAATTTGTTACACTGAATAATGAGTCATAATTTCACACCATATAATTGTATTTCACTTTATCTTTAATGAAATAGTTTTTACTTATTTTTTAAATAAGGTGTGCTTCGCATAACATTTTGAACAAAATGTTGAAAACAGAATGTCTCATTTGTACATTTTTTTTTGCCTTCTCATCTTTAACACAAACCATTTATAGATGTCAGCAGGCAATGAATAGTTCATGTCAGAGACTAATAAACAGAACTGAAGGCTTATTGTTTTGCTATAGCATTAAATATTAACAAACCTCTGACGAATGACCCAGCAGTTAATGTTCTTAATAGTAAAATCAATCTGCTTCCAAGAAAGCCCTCTCCATCTTAAACTAGCTATCTTAAACCACCTCTCTCATCTCCTCCTCCTTTTATTAGCATTTTTCTTTTTAATTTATTAATTTGCCTTCATGTCTTTTGTTCTGGCTTTTTTTCTCTTATTTGGCTGCTTTCTACCATAAGCTGTTTGTTTTACCATCTGATGATGTTGTCGTCTGTTTAGTAGGACACTAAACTTAAATTGTTATTCATGTTTAAATGTTGTGTTTTCAGGGGAAGCCCCAAAGGACCAAACCCAGATCAGAACCAGAGAGCAAAGACCCTCGGCACAAATCGTGAGTTTGTTCGGTTAATGCAAACGATATTCCCCCAAAAAGTTGTGAACAAATCACGCTTAAAGCATAATGCCATTACATTGGACTTAAAATGCCACATCCAAGTGGTGTATTCATAATGGCCTCCCATTCTTGTAATTGTATATATACACACATGCACACACACATATGTGTATTCATATATGCATGTATGTTTATATATAATATTTAACTGTGAGTAAAACTGACAAAATCATAGTGGCTACTGTATGGGCAGCCGTGTCTACAGTTTAAATGTAATAAAAGATTCATAGCTGAATCTTTTATTATGATTTATCTACACATCTGAGGTTATAACAGCAGAGGCTTGCAGATATATGATGTAACTGTGTGTTTTTCTTCAGAAAAGCATCAGATGAAGATTTCGAGGTGTACCTGCAGAGTGTAAAGGCTCAATCTGAAGCGTTTCGCAGTAACAGTAAGTTTCTATTGACACATTATAATTAGAATACTGCCTAACATGGTATTACAATACATCTATTTAAATTAAAATATTTTTGTAAATTGTCAAATTGACTTATTTTTAGTGTAAACATCTGTTAAATATCTATGTACAGGTTTGTTTGACGGCTTTTTCTTCCTTAATGTGACATTGATCAATCCAACATAGAGCTAAAACTGAATTATTAAGCTCCCTTTGCGATTTTAGCATGCCAATTTGGCCTTTTATCCCATGCTTTTTTTAGTACACACACAAACTACAATTGCCATAGCATGGTTTATCTAATGCAAATGGCATTTTATATTGCTGTATCAAATTAGATTTTTCAAATTGCACAGTCTGTAGAAAACTTTCTAAATTACCACCACAGGCTCACTGGAAATGTGTGCTTCAGCCTACATTTTTGTGAAGCTAACAAAAACATACTTGAACATACATTTGACTGCAGTTTCTAGGCAAAATGATGCTATGGGGCAGTTTATTTTGTTTGTTTTCACACTAACCATATTTACAGGCACGTAACTATCGACAAAATGACAAATAAACACCATATAATAATCTTTAAATGTTTAGGATTCGTAATCCAATATGTTGACTTCACCCATCTATTTCCATATTGAGGGAGTTGACTACAGCTGTGCATTGTTATTGGTGGACTGGCTGATCAAGCCCTCATTCTAGTATGGGGTGTCCGCGGGGTCTTAAAGTCTTCATTCATTCATTCATTCATTTTCTTGTCAGCTTAGTCCCTTTTTTAATCCGGAGTCACCACAGCAGAATGAACCCCCAACTTATTCAGCAAGTTTGCTTGCAGCGGATGCCCTTTCAGCCGCAACCCATCTCTGGGAAACATCCACACACACACACATTCACACACATACTCATACACTACAGACAATTTAACTTGCCCAATTCACCTGTACTGCATGTCTTTGGACTGTGGGGGAAACCGGAGCACCCGGAGGAAACCCACGCGAAGGCAGGGAGAACATGCAAACTCCACACAGAAACGCCAACTGAGCCAAGGTTCGAACCAGCGACCTTCTTGCTGTGAGGCAACATCACTACCTACTGCGCCACTGCCTCGCCCGGTCTTAAAGTCTTAATGTCTTAAATTCTAAAAACAAAATTCCAGGTCTTGAATTTACAGAAATATGGTGTTGTAGGTTTTTACATAAGTTTTTTTTCCATGTAAAGCTGCTCAAATTGGTACAAACAACAATTAACAAAAGTAAAATGTATTCACTCTATTTACCAATATCATTTAATTATCTTGCTTACATCCTTATGCTGTGTTTACACCAGACGCGGTACGCGTGGACACATCGAGCTATTCGCGTGTAAATAGACGCGTGAACATTTTGAGTTTACTCGCTTCATGTGTGCTTCAAATCCGCTTCATTCGCATTCGCGTCATAGGTGGGGCTTCTGTCTGCCCAGTGACTGTAGCTTCATTGCTAAATGGCTTAAGCCTGATTTATACTTCTGCGTCAAGTGACCGGCGTAACTCACAGCGCATGCAACGCGTGTGGCTGTGCATTTACACTTCTGCGCGCTGTCTCAGTTGGTCTGCATTAACACTTCCGAAACGCTAGTTGGCAGTGAGGTGTAAATGTTCCTCTGTGTCGAGTTTCTTCGCTGCTTTTTTGCTTTTCCTGAACACTACCGGGATGTACAAGGGGCTCAAACTCGCTCATTTTGAGGCAGGAACTGGTGGGCGTGCAACAACTTTAACTATGAGGTAAACACAAAACATCCGGAGCTCCTTCATGGGACTCCACACTTGTAAACAATCGCTACATTGGGTTCGCGCTATTCGCGCGGCTCTCAGTCCGGCCCTGACTCGTCAGTGCTACCAAGCCGACCAATCACAGAGCTTGCGCTACGCGTTGTTGCGACGTGTAGTTATATTTTTTGAGAGGTGCACGTCAGTGACGGCCATGGCGAAGGGCTATGCGTCAGCGCCGTAGCATACACCGGTGTTTGACGCAGAAGTTTAAATCAGCCTTAACATGGATTTCATTGGGAGAGTAGCTGTGCTTATGTGCTTCATGAAGGCTGAAAAACAGAGTCGAGTCATTTGGTGCCGTGTCTGAATTCACTAGATCCTTTCAGAGGTGCACCAGCTCTGTGAGTTCATAAACTCTTCCAGAAACTTAACCTGGATGATGGAGGCTTTCAGCGGTGCTTCCGACTGAGCTGAGCCCAGTTTGATAAACCGTTTTTCGGTGTGAGGTTTTCCAACAACAGGAGGACATCAACAACAGGCGCTACGTCATAAGCACGCCCCTATAAAAAATAGCTTCTGATTCGTTAATGCTGCGCGAATGTCCGCCCAAGTTCAGATTTTCGAATTTGAGTGATTTGCACGAAACATATGATATGCGCATCAATCGCGCAAAATGTTTAACTGGCGGCGCTTCATTCATGCGAATTGCGTCATTCGCGCTACCTCATTAGCACAAATCGCACCGCAGGACGTCTATACGCACCTTTGTAAATCACTCGCACTTGATGCTTCTTCCGCGTCTGGTGTGAACGCAGCATTACAGTAAAGTTTGTTTAAAAGTTTTCCATGGATATATGCATAAACACATGTGCATTAGTTTATTATAGTTTTTAAAAAATTAAGAAAAGTTATGCTAACAAAAAATGTATATAACTACAGTTTTTTTTGTTTCGACACATTATTTAAAACAAGTGGTTAAGAATAACTGAATTTTAATTTTAATGGGGCAAGTAAAAAAAAAAATCCCTGTGTAGGTCTGAAATTCATTCATACTGGCCTTAAAAAGGTTTTAAATTTGACTTGGTCAAACTCTGCAGTAAATGCATCATCAGTGAATAAATGTCAATAAAGAGGCAGTTAAATTATTAAACAAACAGTTTGATGTGCTTGAATATAACACTTTTCCATAAAATAGTAATGCTTGTCTGTTTTGAATCGATGATGACTTAAAGGACTGAGCTCTGAGACGAATGTGGTGACTCCCAACACTGAGAGCAGCTGGGACTTCACCAGTAAGACTGACGCCACCTCACTGGAGCTGGAGTGGGAGGATGAGGAGGGTGAGCGACACACACTGAGGAAATGCTGTTATTGAAGATGCTGTTATTGAAGAGCTTTACCTCAACGTTTTAAGCAAAACTTTCTCAAAACAATACCAGAGTTATTATTTAATGTGTATGCATTATGAAAAAGTACCAGAACACCAAAAGAGATGAGTAAAACCGTGCTGCTAGATTGAACCACACGGATCATTTATCAGCTTGGTCCAAGGAAGAGCAAATAGAAAAGATTTTTTTTTTATTATCACTACTATAACCATTAAATTAAATTTTTTTTTTCACTAAACCCCATAATTATTGTGTCTTTAACTTTATTTAATTAACATGTCTCATTCTCCAGGAATGAACCGAATGGGTCCTGCATGGGAGCGATCGAAAACAGAGGAGGATATTTTACGCGCAGCTCTCCGTCCCGGCGGGAGGCAGCAGGACAGCGGACCCACCTCCACCTCCGAGGACTCCACTGCTCTGGAGTGGGAAAATGACTTTGTGAGTGCTCATCCTGACGACAGCGGAGAACACGAAGACTCTGCTGGATTGGTTAATCCAGCGCTGGACACGCCCACTGAGGAGGCAGAAAATCAGACAGCAGACCAACAGGAGAGATAGTCTACAGCCAGAGACAGTGAGATGACTGTGGTATCAAACGCCTCCTTTAAATACAGTGTGATGATCCATTTAACATAATATATGAAACTAAATTAACATATCTCTATGAGAGAGGTAATACAACGGAAAGAAATGCTTTATATGACTCAGAATTTGTTGATGAATGAATTTCATGAACTTTTTTTTTTTTTTTTTGCTTGACCTTTTATCCCCACACTTCTCATTACTGTAATACATCAGGATATTTTGGTTTATATATTAATTACACTTTTACGTTAAGCAAAAAAAAAAAAGTTATGTTTTGAAGTGTTATTATTGATCAGAAACACTGGGACACTTGGTGATCTGTCACACATAAAGTGTGTGTGTGTGTTTGCAATGTAGTAATGAGAACTGGGTGGGTAATGTGGTCAACTTACCCAAACAAATAGGTTACTTAATCTATAAAAAGGCTTTTTAATTTTTTTCAAAATGTATATTTTTTTGCTGAAATATGACCTGGGGTCTGATTTATAAATTTTTGTAGAAACAGTTTTAAAAGTAAACGTACACCAGAATCAATTTAATGTATTTATTTATCAAGGATTATGGCTCATAGGATGATAAGTGTCTCAGTTTAGGGTGCTTTCACACCTATTAATCGATTTTTTTTCCCTAACAGGGATTAAAAATGTTGCCATGTTGCGTTTTTTTTCTTGGAGTGGTTTGCTTTCACATGGCAAAGTTTCTAAACGAACCAAAATAGTTGTCATGTGCAAGTAAACTCTCCTCACATTGCTCAGAGTTTGGTTTATTTTACGGGATTTCCCTCAGCTGTCATACACATGTCGTTATATTAATTTATTATGATGAGAAATGAGACTTAAGAGAAATGTATGCCTATTACATATTCATAATACACTGTGATCTAGCCTGGTTTTTTAGTTTGTTGGATCGTATTGCTTTTTCGTGTTGCATGCCGGCAGCTAGCTCTCTGCAACTCTCACATGGTCGCCCACTGAAGCTAAGCAGGGCTGCGCCTGGTCAGTACCTGCATGGGAGACCACATGGGAAAGCTAGGTTGCTGCCGGAAGTGGTGTTAGTGAGGCCAGCAGGGGGCGCCAAACCTGCGGTCTGTGTGGGTCCTAATGCCCCAGTATAGTAACGGGGACGCTATACTGCTCAGTGAGCGCCGTCTTTCGGATGAGATGTTAAACCGAGGTCTCGACTCTCTGTGGTCGTTAAAAATCCCAGGATGTCCTTCGAAAAGAGTAGGAGATTTAACCCCGGCATCCTGGCCAAATCTGCCTCTGTCCATCATGGCCTCCTAACCATTCCCATATTTAATTGGCTTCATCACTGTCATCCAGGTGGATGCTGCACAGTGGTGGTGGATGAGGAGACGAACCCCCCCTACCCCCCCCCCCCCCCCCCCCCCCCCCCCCCCCATTGTGTAAAGCGCTTTGAGTGCCCAGAAAAGCACTATATATATGTAAGGAATTATTATTATTATTATTTTTTTTTTACTACAGCCAAACTGCTCTAGAGTTTGTTTCAACTGAGTCGAGACTGATTGTTTTGGTGCAGATCCGAGCGCAATTGCGAAATTTACTTATGACCAAACGATCTGAGCTAAAAGGATAAATGCGCCACGCTCCGAAACCGACGTCTAGGTGTGAAAGCACCCTGAAAGTTAAATGTTTATTTGGCTTACTTCTGCACACAATTGCCCATCATTTTTGTTTTTATAGATAACGATTGTTTCGCATGGGAAGTGGCGTACACGCATTTCTGCTTGTTTTGTGCACACACTACGCTTATAAATGAGACCCCCTGGTCATGTTCTTGACAGATTTGGTGAGATTCACTCCATTGGGTCGTAGATTCATTAGGATTTGCTTTTCCTGGGTTAATTCGCCCCCGTTTTGAATGTGATGCAGCTGTAATTTATTTATATCTGTTTCCATTTGGTAACTGGGTGGAGTTTTGAAATGTCTCGCATCAATACTTCATGTCTTAATCTTTCACTTCAGCCTTATTTCACACGTTTCCATTACAGAACTGAATCAAGTGCAATTTTAGAAGATGAGGGACGTTTCTTGATAGCTACAGAACTATCATAATTGCCATTCATTTGCATATAATAACAGTCCAGTCATCTGTGTGTGGCTTTAGAAACACTGACTTGTTGAAGGACGAGATTTTGAGCTAAAATATATTTCCTCAACTTAAGAGGGAAATAAATGCACCGGGACACATTTTACAGTATTTCCAAAGTGCTTTTAATAGAGTTAATTTTAACTTGTGCATGTTTGCTGGTCGAGGATTTTGTTGACAAACTGCTAATAGGGGTGTGCGGTATTTACCGTTTTGTCATTTTAAGCTCGTATGCAAACTTATATTGTCTGTCTTTGTCACAAAATTTGCAAAAAAAATTGAAACAAACCAAACAAAATCATGTTTAGACAGTCAAAAAGCATTGACTATGAGATAAAACTTTAGAATTATCGAGCCTATAATTTGTTATAATGGCGAAACGTATCATTGTATGGAGTTTTTTTGTAAGATATGTGTCGCTTACTTTAATATCAACGAAATTGTTAATGGGTTACTCATTTTATACAACAGTGTATTAAATAAGAAATTAATATTGAGTTTTTGACACAGTGTCCTTTGTTTTTGGGTTGCACTGTAAAAATGATGAATTGGTCATGACAACATGTTTTAGTTCTTAATCATGTTTTAAATTAATTTTATAAGTTACGGAAGCTGTTTTATATAAGAGAAGTTCAAATAAGGTTAATTAGATTCAGCGTAAAAATTTAAGGCAACTAGTGTTTTTTTACAGTGTAGGGTTCGCCAGTGAAATTAGATTTAAATGCCAACATGGAATGATTGTACATCTTAAAGCAGGGGTCACCAACCCTGTTCCTGGAGAGCTACCTTCCTGCAGAATTCAGTCCCAACCCTGATCAAACACACCTGAACCAATTAACAGTACCTAAAGCAGCACTTGATAATTACAAACAGGTGTGTTTGGTCAGGGTAGCAACAGAAATGTGCAGAAAGGTAGCTCTCCAGGAACAGGGTAGGTGACCCTATTTTTGGTTATTTTTTTTTTTTAAATAACTTAATTCTATGAGTCTCTTGCTTTGTTTCAAAATAAATCAGTCGAAAACAAATCATGTTTCTGTTAGTATCGCACACTCTGCATAGCTAGTAAGAAGGTTATTCTTTACACAGTCTGCTCCATGTTTGGACGAAATGAATCAGAAATGGGCAGAATATTCCATGATGAATCAAATCTTCAGTCACTACCTCTGGTTTTGATCATTTTGCCTTTACTTAATGAATTAGCAGTGTCTTGCTATGTTTGCAAATAATCAGTAATTATTATAACATTCTAATATTTTTTCTGAAACATGCCAGTGTTGTCAATTTAATCAAAGAAGTTAGCGCACACTTCATTTTAAGGTTTCCTTGTTACAGTGATACTATTCATTTAACTTCTGAATAATATTAATTATGTGTACTTATATGATACTTACATGGTAATTATATGGTTAGGGTTAGAATGTGGGTTGTGTGTTGTGTTAGTTGCATGTAATTATACATAATTAATTTTAATGACTATAGTAGGCACAGGTAACAAAGACACCTTAAGATAAAGTGTTACAAAGAAGTGTTATTTTTGTTTTGTACTATTGTTGAGGCTACGTCTACACTAATCTGGATAAATTTCTAAACACAGCATTTTCATTTAATCACGCTTCATCATGACTACACTATCATTTTCAGCTGTTTACATCATCCACACTAAAACAACTGGAAAACGGTTTCGTTCATGTACTGCGCATGCACACAGATGTAAGTTGCTTTTACCTGCGACCTATCCACCTGTTGTTTATTTACTTTCGTCGCTTTCAACTGTCGTTTGCTTCTGCCACTAAGCAAATCTGTTCACTAAACATTGTCTGAATAGAGGCAATATGGTGCATGAAAAAATGGACACTCATCCTTAATAAAGCTGTCAAAACTAACAGCATCCAAAACATCTGCGTTGAATTGGTCACTTGACTGCGTCACATCGATTTAGGTTTCGGAGGCCACCGTTTTCGCAACACAATCTCACTGCAATTTGTAACTTTTTGGTTTAGTAGGTATTTCGCATGAATTCATACAATCTCATTTGTACAATTTAGTATGATTTGCTTATTTCCCAATGATGGTTGGGGTTAGGGGTGGGGTTGGGTGCCATGCCTCCTTTGTAAAATCGTACATTTTTGTATGACTGAAAATAGTTACGTTTTGTGATTTTTAGACTAGATTTTACGCTCCACACTGCAATGAGATCGTTGTTTTCCAATTCATCTACTTTGAATAGCGTTTTTAAAATGATACGTTTTTGTTTTCTTAAAACGCTGTCTCAGTGTGGACGGAAAGACGAAACTGAGAGAAAAAAATAAATTTTTAAACTAAAATGAATTCGTGTGGACATGACCTTTTACTATAAATCTTATTTTAATCCTGTAATGTGAAAAACAAATGACAAGGACACAAAAACGTTTAGTGTATCTTTTGGTCATTGGATTTTCATTTTAGAAACATATTGAAAAATGAGTCGTTTTTTTGGGGTTTTCGTTTTAAATTAAAAAATGAAAATCAAAAATGCATTGAATTTTAATTTTAATTTTTTTTAATAATAAAATAAAATAAAACTCGTTTTTCAATATCTGTTTCTAAAATGAAAATCCAACGACCAAAAGATACACTGACCAAAAACAATCTACTTTTTATTTGCGTATATGGTTTTATTTGTTATATTAAAAAAAATCCCATTTAATTTGAGTGAAATATTGAAGTAAGCCCCGTACATTCACTAATTGTGAATTGTTAAAATTCTACACATTTTGACTATATATCCATACTGTAGGGCCGGGCAATTATTCAAAGACATTATTTTCATGCGCATTTTATCAGTAAAGCTGGTCCAGATGGAGCTGAGTTTACTACACAGAGTCGTAGTTCACTGACGAGCTACGCACAAACATGTTTAAAGTCAGTTTAATCTGTTGATAATGAATTCAAGATGATCTTTCTGATGATAACAGCTGTTCATGTCACTTCCCAGTCAATTACGGCTCTGTGTAGTAAATGCTAAAAACCACATATAATTACGGTTTTACTGGCAACTCGCTTCATAACTTGGCTGATGGGTTTTAGAAGGAGCAAAACAATGGTTCGGAGGTTTTACAACACTGTTGATCCACTGGTTTGTCCAACCTGATCTCACGAGGAAATG